CTACGAAATCTTCCTCCTCCTTGCTCAGGACAGTCCCGGGACCAACCCTCGCATCTATGGCCACCTTGTTCTTCACACGGTCGTGCAGCGAGGCTAGCGGTAACCCGTAGGTCCTCGCAGCAACGCGGAGCGACATCTCACCGCTGCGTACCGCATCTACAGCCTTCTGGGCCTGCTCTGGGTCTACTCTCTTACGTCCCATGCTTAGCAGCAGGACCCCGAAAAGGGCAAAGATGCCCCACATAAGGGGTGTGGGTGAGGGCTGTGCTGTATCTCGGGAGTGCTTGACCCGATCGACACGCGGAGGTGCTCAAACGAAAGCTAACGGAAAGCTGAAGATTTCAAAAAAAAAATTGGGGGGCTCCGCGCATTGTGCGCCGAGGGACGTGCATTTGAAAAAAGTGTTCGTTAAAGGGGGGGTGTTCGTTAATACCCTGGTTTACTCTAGACAAGCATAGACGAGATATATATAGTCTAAGCTGATAAATAATAAGACTGTAGACCCAAGTATAGACGAGACGATTGAATTTTATTCACTGTGTCGCTCTGTGGACACCCTTTGAAACTGAAACATACATGCACCAGGTGGGAGTAGATTTATTTACTTCCCCTGTTGTTGTCCGGCCGGTCGTCTCGCACGATCGATGCGATTCAAACGAACACCAACATTCGAATAAAGATGACATGGACCACGTGGAGTATTTTCTAGATGGCAGCATTGGTCGTTGCACAATGACCGATGCTGCAATCTAGAAAATACTCTACAACAGGTCATGTACATTTATAGTGATGTTTTTTGGATCTGGCAGACGGGTGCTGGACTCGTACATACATAATTCTTTTAGATCAATAACCAGAAACCGGTGTACCCGGGTACTTTTATCACAACTGTAGGGTACAGTTAGAAATCAACACGCTTGCACCCTCAGGCTGTCAGCTGATTGGCCGAAAAAAAATTGTACCCATTTCTGAGGAAACCTCCATCGGGTACAACTTCCGCTGGAATTAGGACCCTCTTGTGTGACCGATATTGGTTACTTGCGTACCCGGAAAAGGTGGATTTTGTACCCAGAAATGGTCGTATTATCCCGGCGCCCGACGCTCTAGCATAAAACCCACAGAATAAAACGTGTACTGCACATACCGTGTACCGTACATACATAACCACAACGAACCACCAACTTCATCTTTCATGGGCACCGCCTCCATAGGATACCGGCCCTTCTCAACAGAGGGCCGGACTCGCTTGACACGCGAGTAGTTCGGTGTGGTATTGATCAGCAAAAGCACAAGAGAGAGAGAGAGAGAGGCACAGAGAGAGAGAAAAACGGGCACGACCTGCCTCGTGCATCATGCTTCAGAGGCACAGGACACAGGACACAGACAGCGGTTTGTTGGTTTCGCTGCGATAAGGCGCCTGCTGTCGGAGATTGGTGTTGTCTTGATTTCCAAGTGTACCCAAAAATGGTGATAAGCCATCCGGGTATACCCGTTTCTGGTTACTTCTGGTCTTGTTGCAGTATTAACCCCTGGTCTCGGATTCGCCGGTACCCCTCTCTGCACAACAGTCCCGTGCAGTGCGTTACGCGGACGCTGCGTTTGTGCACAGGGACAGGGACAGAGAGGCCGTATTGAGGTACCTAGAGAGGCCGCGCTCTCCTGTGTACGTGGTAAATCTTGACGGTTTATCAACGTCAAGTGTACAGTGCGAACGCTACTGTAGACTCCAAGGCACGGCAGTTTGTGATCATAGGCAGCACAGAAAATAGATACTGTATAACAGCGGCGATCAGCTCAGTAATAGGAGCGATCAGCATTGACTGCTGTCGCCGCTGCTGCAGCCTCACGTGAGCTATGGCGCGTGGCGCTTTGAAAGGGCTCAAGCGAACGCGACCATCAGCTGGAGAAAAAGTGGTTGTCAGGGGACAGCTAGCCCAGGGAGGTGCGGGTCGTTCACCGGGACAGACTGTTGGTTCCCAAGGTGAGCTGACTGTTCGGCAGTCCACAGCAGTGCAACTATTTGCGGTGTACCATACCATGCACATAGTGTAAAGTCTCCTTCACACAGCATCTCGCTCGATGCTAACTATCTAAAACAGAGGGGGTTCCTCTGCCTGTGTGCATGTCTTTTTGGTGTTGTTGTTGTTTGTTGTTGTTGTTTCTCACATTAGCTCTAAAAAACAAAATTGGGAGCCCGTGGTCTCAAAACCCGGCATACACGAACCCACGAAGAAACAGAAAAAAATAGGGTACAAAAACCACTCGGAAGAGAAACAAAATGATAGAAAGAAAGACCAGCTACCGCACCAAACGAGAAAGAGCGTCGAGGAGACCGATCAAAATAAAATAAAAGGAGAACGGGGAACGCTTCCCACACCCGCCTACAACGCCGGAGGGTTCCGTGCCGGGTTCCCGCCGACCAGGCATCCCCCGCCCTGCACCACACCCCAGGGGGTGCAGCAAGACGGGGGGCGAAAAACAAACACATATATATGCCCACAAAAAAAATAAAAAATCGAAGGACAACGTACACCAGTACCAGGTACTACAGCAGTGCAGTATGCACCAGCGCATTAGTGTAGGGTAGGCACCGCACCAAAGAGGCAGCAGAGGTGGCAGGCAGCCAGCAAAGGAAAAAACAAAAATAACAAGGAGCTCGAGGTATCGTCCAAGATCATCGTAGAGAGGGCATGGAGAACAAGAAAGAAAGAAAGAAGAAAAGCACAAAGAGAGGCCGGAGGCAATACTAAGAGCATACAGCTTACGGCAGGGAAAAGGGAACACAGGGTGCGACAACATCATCAGTTGGGTACGTCGTTCGCCGCAAGCGCGGCCTTGGCCGCCCTACTCGCTTCTACAGCAGTGTCCGGTCGCCGTTTCTTCCCCCCCCCCCCCGCTTCCCCGATTCTCTTTCTCTTCGGGCCCGGGGCGGCCGTGCTCTCCGTCTCTGCTTCCTCCGCGCGCTGGCGCTGGCGCTTCGCGGATGCTTCCGCCTCCTGTCTGTGCCATTTCCTCATGAACCATGCCGCCCCGTCCTCGATCTTGTCGTACCACGCCTCCTGGTCCTTGGCGCTCTCTTTCCATCTCCCCCCCTCCTTCTCCTCTTTCATGCCAAACGCCACGAGGTCCTCTCCTAGGCGATACACCCAGTCGCTCTCCTGCCCGCCCCGGTATCCGGTACCCCCCGCCATCGCTCCCAGCAGCATGCGCTTGGGGAGGCGGTTGTCCTCCATGCGCATAACGAAGCCCGCAAAACACAGCCTCCGTTTGCGCACGGTGGCCTCGATGGTTTCCTCGCAGCCGGCCTGGATGAGGGCCTGGGCGTAGGACAGGGGTCGGTCTGAGCGCTTCCGCTTGCTCCAGCCGATACACCGTGTCAGGAACTGGCGGTGGGTCCCATTCAGCTTGGTGTAGTGCTCCGCTGCCAGGCTCCACGAGGCGCACCCGTATAGGAGGGTCTGCACCACTTCAGCCTGGAGTAGTCGGATCTTGAGCTGGCGGTTGGCCCGTTTCCTGTCGTACATCGAAGTGCTGTTCCGGCGGTAGCACTTCCATGCTCGGCAGATGCGGCTCGTGATCTCCCGGTCGACCTTCCCATCCGCGCAGATGGTACGTCCGAGGTACACAAACCGATCTGTCTGCTTGTACGTCTGGCCAGCGGCGCTGACCGCGAACGGGCGTTCCCCCAGCCCTTTCGGTAGCATGCACATGATCTCCGTCTTTGGCTCCGATACCATCAGTCCGAACAGGCCGGCCACGCGCACGATGATGGACATCATCTTTTCGAGGCTCTCCGGCGTGAGCGAGACGATGGCCGCGTCGTCAGCGTAGAGCATGTCCCACAGGGCCTCTGCGACCGTCACCATCATCGCCTTCTTCCCCGCCGACCTGCCCCTCTTGCCCGTGCACTCCACTCGTGTTGCGATCTTGATCATATCCGCCGTCACCTTGGGGTCCTTGTCGAACTCGGTCACTGCGACCATGCGCATCGCGGCAGAGAACAAGTTGAACAGCAGCGGGGCCAGGTTGCACCCCTGTCGGAGACCTTGGCCGACGTCAAACCATTCCGAGTACTGCCCGTCGGTGTGTGTTCTTTTGATCCACCGACACGAAGATGCCAATTGACGTGCTCATATGGCTACCCCTCAATGTTGGCGTTAATGTCGGTGTGTACGTGTGCATGGGGATATGGATCTAGACTAAACTGTGTACCTATAGCTGCAGTCAACGACCGCGGCGTCCGGCAAGTCAAAATTCGTTGGTGGCTACATACGATTCGTTCCTTTTCACGCATTTCTTCGACTGACATACGGAACAGGAGGGGCCTCAAGCCCGAACGCAGGAGCTGAGTTGGATACCGCGGAGTTGGTGAGCTGGCTCAACTGTGAATGCTTCTTTTCCCTGGTGTTGGTGGGTCTACTGGCAGCATTGCCGTTCAACCTTCACACTCAAGAGCTTATGCAAACGCCGGAGACGTACGTGGCTCGAGCTTTGGAACTGTCAGAAGACGGAGCGTTCGACAAGGTACCCCGTGCCCGCTGTGGAATCGCTAGTGTTGTTTAACCAGGATTTCTTTTTTCTGCTACAATAGGGGACAAGCAGTGTTGCCAAAAATCGGAACGCCGTGCGAATTATCGCCAAACTATAGGGTAACACTACATGCGTCGAAAGGCACGTGGCACCTGTGGTGCATCTCAGCCCATAGAGCTTGAACCCCAGGTGCCACTTCGAGGGTGCCAGCTGCACGTGCGAGACACAACGAGTGTTAATTGTTACGGTGGCCGACCGAACCTGTCTCCCCACATCATATCAGGCCCCAAACATCTCTCCTTGCTGTCTCGCTATCGTTTTTTTCTCCCTACCACCACTTTTCGATGTCTTTGGATTGCGGAGCCCCGGGCGAAGATCCTCTTGGCAAAATACTGCGAAGAGGGCCCAGATGCACGTTTCATGTTTGCCGACATCTCCGTGCAGGAGGGATGAACCCTAGATGTCGTGGATGCTGCAGAAAGCCAACGACACCAGCTTGTGTGCCCACCGTTTGGTTCAAGTCGCACGGCCCCACGTCATATACTGATGCGTCCTCCAAATCCTTCTTTTCAACCAGAGCTGCCTACAAGTCCGCGTGTGGTGTGACCCTCGTAACAAGCACAGACTGCGAAACAATGGCGTAAAACTGGCAAACAGCGTTTATTTTCTATATGTGTACTGTGTGGTCTTGTTTCAGCAGCGCACGTAGACCCAGGGTGGCGCCAGGTGGTTATTAAGTACGCGACACCGCTTGCCCGGGAACGATATGGGGAAAAAGTCCCACATCGAAAAAAACCTGATTGCTGACGACGTAGTGTCCAAGAAACCCTCATTCTCCTATTGTCTCTTCAGTGGGAAGGATTTATCGGGACCATAGCTACTCGGAGGTGCCTTCCTACGTGACGGTGGTGCGCTGTGGTGGCGGCGGTGCCGAAGAAGGTCGAAAAAATATATTACAACACTGTGACGTGAAAGATAACTGAGTGCATATAATCCTTGGTTTTTGGATAGAGGCACCTTGCCAGACACCGCCTGCGCTGTTTCATGGCAAGCACGCCTTGTCTTGTAGCATTGGCAGAGGCACCGCTGCTGCGTGTTTATGAATATGTAGAATGCTTGGCTTATTGTGGAGCAGCATATCAATACCATAATGAAAGCATCATGAAAGACTAAAAAAAAGCACTTGGGTGCTTACGCCAGGCTGCTTCGCTGTACGAGCGCGCTGTCAACATCGAAGAAACGGCTGAGAGGCATGTTTTGCTGGGCGAAGCACTGGTTCTAGCGGAGAGGAAAGGTGAAGCCCTTTGGCACTATGGGCGGGCTGCAGACCTGTACGACGACAGGGAGTACAAGGTAAGGCAGGACAACCCCCATGCGGGGTCGTTGGGAGGATGAATTACCATTTGCGAGACCAGAGCAATTTTTCCAAGTTCGCAGTGTGTAAAATACATGATGTAACGAGCTGTCCACACCACGGTTTGTCTGGTATTGCTGATTCGAAGTCACTGGTAACGCTGATTCGGAGTCAGGTGTCGACTCTGGTGAGCCTAGGACAAGTGCAGACCGAGGAAGGCTTTTCCGATGATGCCGTGGAAACATACTTGCAAGTCCTCTCGTTGCAACAAGGCGAGGACCCCGATGAGGTGGCAGACGCACATGTACAGGCAAGTGGTGTGGGGAACGTTCAAGGTTTCGGGCTCCATACATGGCGGCCGAAAACACTCCCGATTAGTGATTATCACTTCTCTTTCAAAACGGGTACTGAAGGACCGTGGAGCATGTATGCACTTGTCACACACTTAATCTCCAACAGTCTGGCTCTCCAACTCTTTCCTACCAGCCTGATGATTATGTGCACATCGGTTGCTCAAGCAGGTGGCAAGGAGCTTGCTTGACAATCACAACCACTCGGAAGCTGTGGGGCACCTCGAGTTGGCCACCGGTGGGTGTTAGACGAGCTTAGCCATACAACGTGCTACGAGAAGTAGTGGGGCACGATTTCACCTGTTTTGGGTAGCTTGTTTCTATCGAAGTGACAACTGCTTCGCGCTTTGGTTTGGGTATCCATTTGAAGGTGGGTGTGAATGGCAGGCTCCAGTTGTGTGCGTGCGCAAGGTTTCTCGTTGTCGTGTTTTTTCCGAAAGCAATAGACCCTCACACCCCCGCAGGAGTGTTTTCCTTTTGTGTACAAGGTCATGTGCACTTTCATCGCAATGTATCGTGGGAAGATCTGCGATATGCGAGCGCTGATGACGATATGCGGCGGATGTGCTTTGTACACTCGTAGAGTCACATCAAGGGGAAGAGCTCATGGATGTATGCCGCTGTAGACGAATCAGTTTTCTGCCGCCGGACTCTTCGTTACGAAGATTGTTCGCCCTCAAGTACCGAAGAGGTCCGGAGAAGGGAACATTCTGTTGAAAATCATGAATGCACACTACGGAGCACGATCGTCAGGGTGATCTATTTCAAAGACTCATTTACAAGCCAAACGTGAATTCACGTGCAAAGCAGGGTGGGCGAACCTGACCGAGGTAAACACGAACCTCAAGCTTCATTGAAATACGACGGCAACGTATCCGAGCCGTGTCGTTCGCAAGGCACCCTGCCAAAGGATGTCGGCATGTTCTAGGTCACAATGGGACGGGGTCTGTGTGGATATCGGCTGCTTTGTACAGCTGCAGTGCTGATCCAATTTCTTTCCACCACCACGAGTGGGAGGGACGTTTTGATCTTTATCTTGTGTGTGCCCTTACACACAGAAGGTGACCTTCTGGTATTTCCGCAGAGTGATGATTGACGGGAAACTTGTGCCATCGCATACACCTTCAAAATCGCGGTTTGGGTAGAACTGAGACACTGTCGTGATGACAACTGTACTTGGCTCGCTGCCGGTACAAACATGTTGCGAATGATCACGAACTCCGGTTTATGGCTTGCAATGCTGTTTGATTCTTCACTTCACCAGCTTTGGTTCCGGACTTGACTCAAGCCCAGGAGTTGTTGGCCAACACCCTCCGAGATATGGGATCCGTAGAAGAGGCAATACGACGGTACAAGAGTATCATCGCCCAGCGATCGACGTGAGTGGTGTGATACTTTGCGGGAAAACCGGGAGCGAAGTAATGCATTGCAAGCAAGTTGCAGCCTAAGTCATGCACCACATCGGATCGGACTACCCAGTAACGCTCTTCGGCGGAGTGGGTTGGTCCCATGGCAACACCTTTGTCCTTGTGAATGCCTTGGCATCTCGGGGATTACACCACATTTCTTGCTCTACTTCTCCTCAGTTCGGCTCCCCGATTTCAGTGTATCGTGGTGAACACGACGCACATCGTACAAGTTGACTCATGCTCCTTCGTTGTCTTGGTCTCAGGGATATCGGGACGTTGGTGCAACTCGGCTATGCGTACCACGAGCTGTGTGACTTCTCGCAAGCTCTAGCGATCTACAAAAAGGTGAGGACCGAGGCTCATGAGCGCTTGGTAGTTATTACCAATCCTTGGAGCAGGTTGTGGCGCATGTACTTCAAGTACGTGGGTGTAAAGTTCGAAATTCGAACGTTTCGCGACGCTCTTAAGTTGTTCCAGCGGCTCTGGGTCATGCACGCAAAGGCAATTGCCCGGCACAACAGGCCCCTTGCACCCGTTCGCCACCGCCCGACAATGTCGTCACCTCATGTAGCGAACCTTGGACTTCGTGTTCCAGAGGATGCCCCTGACTGATGAACGTTACAAATGGACACATTTCAGGCACGATCGTCGCCCACAAAGGCAGCAGAAATGGACTACCTCACCGCGGCGTTGCACAGCAAATCATTGCGACCCTCTCGGGCCCCCACGGCCTATGTTGCCGATCTGTTCGACCTGGAAGCCAGAAAGAACGGGTTCTTGGAGTCACAGGCAAAGAGGACCGCTCTTACAAGTGCGGAAGATTCCGACTCTTCAGAGTCTCCAGGGCCTCTGGCGGAGGCAAGAAGATCCACCGGCGATCGTAGCATGTTTTATGACGTGCACGGGCTCATATTCGATCGCGTGGCACCCAACATGAGATCGATGATTGAGGCCGCTCTCGGCTTGCCGACAGACGGATTGGATAGGAGGGGACTGCAGTGGTTGGACATCCTTGACCTCGGGTGCGGGCGAGGCACGATGGGGAGCCAATTGAAACAACTCGCCAATTTCATCACAGGAGTCGACCTCTCCGAGAGAGCCATCCAGCACGCGTTACGAGAAGGGTCATACGACAGTATCCAGCATGGAGACGCCATCGCTGTTGTGAACACGATGCTGCCGAACAGTTTCGACCTCGTAGTGGCGGCCGACATGGTGCCGTACTTCGGCGACCTAGGCGACTTGTTCCGGGCCATCGCGGCTGTGACGAGGCCAGGCGGGCTGGTTGCGTTCAACGCGGACGCGTTAGACGCTATTGACGATGGGTCGGGCGGAGCAAATGCCGGCGGGAATGTGCGGGCGTTTGACTTGAAGTTCACGGGAAGGTGGAGTCATCGTCGAAAGTATGTTACTCAAAGTGTAGCTGCGGCCGGCTTGTCTGTATTGGGGGTGCGGGTTGTTAAGGGACGAACGAGACTGGTCAGCACAGCGGCTGGAGAGATCGTGCTGGAAGCAGCTCCACAGGAGCGACGAACAACGATTTTTTTGTGTGGGAAAGGCACGATGACGTAGCTCAGATTAATTAGACAGGAGGGGAAGGGGGTAGCCGTGTGTTTCAGTTGAGTCTTCGGGATTTCATCACTCCATGGTGTTTCACCTCTCAATGTTTCCGACTCAGGCTGGTTATTCATCTTGACCTCAGATGGAAAGATATGGCGTGGATATTGGTTATGCGTGCATCATGTACCACCTGGAAGAAAGGATCGAGTACGTGCCAAAAAATTATGCGTCGTGCAGACTGCTGCTGACGCGGCATAGGTGGGTATACGTTCTTGCCAGGTCCCGGATGTCCGAAGCGCGCTTTTTCGCTGCTGTACTTCGATGTAGGGTATATCAAACACGCAAGATATTTCTCTCGAGCTAGTATCCCGTAATCAGTAGGGTTGGGGACTGGACCAGTAGATACAGTATTCCGTACTGACAGTTTCCTCCTTGGACCGGCACGTCCCACATTATGCCTCCTGAACCACACATGGAAACCACCACAGTGCGCGGCATGCGATGAGAGAGAAGTGCAGGCACGAAGCATACACGCCGGCGATCGAGGGGAGGTGCAACTGTGCGCTCGATGGACGAACTTGTCACTATAAGAGCAGCGATGTGCTTGCTCTTTGTGTCACCATATATGTTTGCTCACGAAGTTTCTTTTTGGTGGAGGTCGGTCAAGTAGTGAGTAGGTTGGTGGAGCTACGGCAGAGTGGTACTCGCTTGTACGGGTGGATCGCAAAATAATGTGACTTTCTTTCGTGGCTTTCAGCCGGGATGTATTGTTGAAGGAAAGTGAGCACCATGAAAAAAAATGGCAACCATCTTGAGAAGGTGTTCAAGGTGATAGTTTGGACAGCTTCATGGTAAAAACATGTTTAAGTTGGATGCGTTTGTGACACCTAACCAAAGCTTCAAGAGATTGCTGACATTTGATCATTTTCGAGCATTCCATGGATTTAATCCAGGGCTCTGGCATCGTCAAAGTGACGGAAAATCACCAAAAAAATATTTTGTAGTGAAGCCTAATCGCGAAAAAACGCGCCTCCGACCCGACGGGCCCCCCTCACCAGCCAGGGGGAGCGCCGGTGGCGCGGCTGCGCCGCGATCACGCGGTGAAGCCGAGTGGCCAGTGCACTGATCACGTCCAGTGAAATGGCTACGTATCACAGCCAATTTTCCTTGTAGTGGCGCTACGTGCCAGTCCCCAACCCTATCATCAGTGCTTTGATTTTGAAACTTGTCGAAAGTTGTAAGCCAAACAAAACGTCGTGCATCGTGAGCAGACTTCAGCTTCAACCGTTTCGAGAGCAAACCGGTCGTATCCATGATTCAGGTTTGATGGGTATGGAACAGATCAACACTTATTCGCACATTCGAGGCAAGGGTTCCGCTTGAAAATGCGCGGTCGAAATGCTGGTGGTAGGTATCGTAAGACAACATTCATCCATAAGCGCTCCGGTCAGTTTTGTTTGTTTTATTTTTTATTCCAACGTTTCAACAGATCCTGTGGCTTGCTCGGCCGTTCACGCAAAAACAGCTACAGCGCTATGTAGATGTCGATGTAGGACAACTTGACTTGGCTCAGCCCGTCACGATACCCTCGAACTTCGCCTGAAAGCGCACACACACGCAAGAGAAGAGATTTTTAGTGGTCGGACAACACAATGGAACTGTAAGTATCGCCCCGTTGAGGCTGGCAGGGACGATTACACCCAACTTGATCCCAGTCATTTGATCGCTGAGGAAATATCATCTCCAAGGCAATCGTCGATACGCATTTGAATCGACACACGGGAAGAGGCGAGGCACCTGGAACCACTTGACGGCGTCAGTCTTGGTAACCTTGTGCTGATAACCGATCTTGGCGCACTTCGCCTTGCGCTTCGCCACGCGGTACCCCGGCCGGTTGAGCACTACGAAAAAGTCCATTCCGTAGATACCTGCAAGGAGCAAGAGGACGTCGTCGTTGCTCACATACAATTAACAACGATAGCAACCAACGTGTGGAGAGGGTGCAAGCTTCTCAAAACTGCCACGCCCTATGTAAAAGGAATACTGGTGTATGCCAAAGACGGCGACCGTCTATCGCGAACGAAACGGCGCGGGTCAGCTGCATGTCCCGAAAAAACATGGGGTGGACACTGCGTATTCAAATACAGCCTTCATAAGAAATAGAACGACCAAACGAATCGGCACCCAGAAAATAACGCGACGGTGAAATGGCGTCTCCAACCACTGTGGCCAGACAGTACATGTGCACCTTTGCCCCAAGGTGGGGGGCGTCGCTCTTCACACACAACCGTCCACAATAAACTATGATAGGCCTCGAATTCACGCGAATGTTCGACAATGTAAGCACGTGGGCAAGATGGCGGCGGCTAAAAAATTAGCAGAATTCAAGCTTGACACAACCAGCACCAACGATCAAAGCAAGAGGCACCCGCATGTGCTGCTTCAAGATGCATAACGGAGAAAGAAGAAAGTTGTACACCACGCCCGAAATCGATTTGTACCGACGGTACTTCGAACATTGGCGCGATCGAGTCGAAGCGTTTGATTGCGGGGCATGTGTATAAAGCATAGCACGCTGTAACACTAGAACATCACACCGCCAACATGGTACCGTGACCGCTAGAGTGGAGAGAGCCAGACGCCGCACAAGGTAAAAACAAATTGCATGCCTATGCGCCGCGAGTGTTGACAGAAGGGGTGAACTCAGTCAGCACAATGACTAGTCCTTTTGGTAGGGTGCCGTTGGTCGGGTCTACGCGAATACGACGTTGTTCCAAGGCAGCATTGCTAGACAAAACATTCTATATTAACATGCTAACCTATATCCACTGTACATGAGTTAAACTCAGAATTTGGCTTGTTGCAGGAGAAACTTCTGCATCCCGTTTTCACAGAGGATATTAGTACGAGTCCTCTCGTGTTGCTGCCGTGTTCAGATTCAATTCCTGTATCCGGAGTAATTGTTCACATACGAGCAGAAAGACCTGCAAGCCTCACCCCACGTGATTGTAGCCGAAAGAGAACAAGAAAACTTGCCAGGATTGGGTTGCCAATCGCACACAGTTCTAATTTTGCACTGGGTGGACATGCTTCGGCTCCAGCACGGGGTCCTGAGCAGGGTTATGGGCGCAACACAGGGTCACTATTTGGGGTGCGGTGTGGAGTTGAAAATCTTACCGGTGGATGGGTCGTACTTCAGTCCGAGGTCGATGTGTTCCTGGATACCAAAGCCAAAGCTGCCGGTGTTGGAGAAGTTCTTACGCTTGAGCTCGTACTCCTTCACCTTAAGCCCTCGCTCAAGGATCTCCAACGCCTTATCGCCGCGGACCTGCGCATCCAGATGGTATCAACGGAACTGAAATCAGGACCAGGCAGCGCAACAGAGCGCTGAACGAACAACATGTAAAGCGACCCACAGCAGATACTAGATTCATCGTTTTTCAGTTGTCAGGGATATGCACACGTCCAAAGGCAAAATCATCGGTACCACGCGGGACCGCCCATGAAAATCCTGGTACACGCATGTGTTAAAGGACGGATGGTAATGCCGAACGCACGCGTGCGCCACGTGAACCAACAGGTTCACAAACAACTGTACTCATTAGGCATTCTCACCGTCACGTGGCACGCGATCTTCTCGTTACGCCGAATTCCGAACGAACGAACCGTGTAGCGTGCTGCACAACGTAGCGATTGGTAAACACACACGGGGAAAAATAGGAAGGGTTGGGGCATGTGTTACTACTTGGGGATCCCTCACGAATGCCAGCCAATTTGAAAGCCTGCCTGTCGTCAAACATGGGATTACCAGGTTCGAGGCATCGGTGTTCGAAAATAAGTACCTTTCAACGCGCCACAACCTCTTTGCAGTTGATTCACGGTACCGTCAACGAGTTTAACCAACCCAGAGAGGCAAAAAACAGCTCGGTGGTGTTTGCCATCGGGGTTGGGTTTTCATCGCTTGGCAACGACGTTGTAAAACAAGCCAATTCACTTCGTGAACTCGGCAACCAGGTTACCGTTTTTTTTTTGGCGGTAACCATAATGGTGGTCGAGTAGATCATGTTGTGCGGGGTGGAGAACCCTCACTCCGCGCAAGGGGGATGATCGCACCACGTTGTGTTAAAATGGTCAGGCACCCTCGAGGCAGTTACACAGTGCTTACAACGTTCTCTGGAATTGAAA